CATAAGAGATAAAATCATGTTAACTAAATAAATGCTAATTAATGAAAACTTAAATTATCGGAGACGTGGGGTGTTCCACCCTAGTTTGTTTGGTGGCTAGGGGTATGTAAAATAACCCTATATATATATATATATATATATATATATATATATATATATATATATATATATATATATATATATATATATATATATATATATATATATATATATATATATATATATATATATATATATATATATATATATATATATATATATATATATATATATATATATATATATATATACATGTATATATATATATATATATATATATATATATATATATATATATATATATATATACATATATATATATATATATATATATATATATATATACTAACTTGTATATACAGATATAATATAGGCAGTATATATAGATAAAATATCCGAAAAGAATTGTCTTATGGACAAAAAGAGCTGTAGCTTCAAACATCACATCAAATATTCAAATCAAACAGAGAAATATTTCATTCAAACAGTTGTATGTATGTATATATGATGAATATATTCGAGGCTACACCAAAGAGTAGTCCAATTGTGGACTCAGTATTTGACTTTTTTCATAGTCATATCAATTGTCTTTTCATTTTTTTGGAGCATGCATGAAATATATATAACAGCTATTTAATTTCAGAAAGCATCTTCTTAATATTATTGAATTAGATTAAAATATTGCAATAGAAATAAAATTGGATATTGCTTATTAATTATCTTTACTTACAATTTAAGGTAAAATAAAATACGTACATTTGGTGGTGTTTGCAAGATAAAAAAAACAATCCTTGAATGAGGCCAGAGATGAATCGGAAAAGAAATCTTTATTGGTTCTACCTCCTCTCGTTTATGAAGAGATTGAATCTTTTTTTTCCTCGAAGAATCAAAACAAGATGGGTTCGGATCTACTGCTCTGTGGGAATGATTTGGAAGATCCAAAATTAAAAATAATGGTATTAATTAGCTAGCAACAACATAATGGAGACGGTCAATCGGTATAGACTGGTCCGAAATCTGATTCAAATCCATTCTAATACCTATAGGCTACATAAGAAACATACTGAATCTATTCTTTTTAATGAATCGATCCGATAAACTTTGATGTTTTTGCAAGATAAACTTTCAATTCCAACTAAAAAATATCTCAACTATTTCCTTTTTAATGTCGTTTAAGATAGATGCACAATTATAATTCAGGAACCTATAAATAATCTTGAGTTTAAGGAGGGAAATCCTTATTTTACAAAATTACATTCAAGTATTTCAAGAAAAATATTATTAGAGACCAAGGGATCAAAAGATTAATTGTAAGAATTAATATTGGCCTTAATAAGATCAGCCATTGCATTTCATTAATCAGTCATTAATTTATTTGAAATATAGCCTGACAAAATATACTTAGTGTTAATTAATTGAAATTAATTGTAAGAAAATATTTAGTATAAAAATATTTTATTTTATTTTCACAAAAAACATAATTAAAAAAAATATATAAATTATCTACTTGGTGGACCACAGAGTTTACCTACCGTGGATATATAACAGTTAGGAACTTAAATCCCATTACATTTAATGACACTAAAAACATTTTTGGCACAGTTAAATAAATTACTAATTAATTAAAAAAAAACAGCAGAGACAGAGTTATGTGGGGATTGAGGCCAAAAGTGGTGTTTGCTATATTCAATTTTATTAATTAATTTGTAGATTTCCACAGTGGCGCACATTCTCAATGCATGGCTTTTGCATTTGTTGGGACTCATTTATTAATCATTTTCTTTTTCTTTTCTTTTCTATATATATATTTATTTATGCATGTTGGGTCGTCGTATTAAGACAAAACAATTGAAATATGTGAATATTGTCAATTAATTAATTACTCATACGTACGTTACACATTCTGCAAAATAATAAATTTTACAAAAAATAAAAAATATTTTTTACTTTTATATATATATATATATATAATCGTTTGAGCGTTTCAAGACTGCACGAGAGGGTATGGTGTGAAAGAGTACATTCTCCACCATTGTTTAGAGAGAAATATGTTTGTTGTTCCGACTAATTTGACCTCTGGTTGTCCAAACTTTGTCGTTAGATTTACAAGCATCACTGTCCTCATATATATGATTCCTAGACACTCATCATAATTAATTCTATTATTATTTTAATTTTCACATTTTTTTTTCAATACCATAATGACTAGTTTTCTTACAATATGGTTCTTTATTTAATGCTAACATTACATAAAAATAAATTTGTTTCTTTCTAGTTTGTTTTCTTCCAAACTACTATTATTCTCTTTCAACATGTCAATAGATAATTCCAATTCATTCACTTACAATAATGGGATTACCGCTTAAAGGTGAGATAATATATTTTTTTTTTTTCCTAAAGATCATCTAATTGAATTTTGGTACCATTTAAAGTCGCTGGAGCTTTTTAATCGGTTTATTGGGCGATGAAGTCTAAAACTTAAATATGGAAGTCTAAAACTTAAATATGCATGAATATACTATACGCACTCAGTAGCACATAGAGCTTTACTTAGAAAGTTTGGGACGACACCAAATAGCTTACTTAAAGAGCTTAGACCGAGTATTATCTACTCTATAGAGAAGTATACACACATGAAATATATACAGTGGAGACAACAAGGAGGGCTTAGTTACGAGCTTAAACAGAGAATTATACAAACATGAACAATATACAGTGTATAGTATAAGGAAAGTCAGTTATGTTCAGTGGTCATATTCTATCGAATAATTACCTATTCACAATCACCGCTCCCTCAAATCATGAAGCTAATCAAAGTGAGCCAACAACTACAGTTCATATCCTCCAAATGTGCATTTACAAACGCAGATTTGCTTTCCCAACGACTGTTGTATGTGAATTTATGTGTCTTTGCCCTATGCAGATATTTCTATATATATTTTCAATCGTCCAATTTATATTCATTTTCAAATTTAGAAATAATAGAATAATTAGACTACCTCTACCCTTTATTTAATGGGCAAGGGAGTATTATGTTTAGGTTGGCACCTTGCGTTTATGGCTATACGCTGATAATGACACGTGTTGTGCAAAACTGTACTAAATTTTTGGTAGGGGCTAAACTCGAAAGGGGCAATGTGGTCCTTCCAGAATTATTTTCATTTTAATTAATTTTGATTCTAAATATTATCATAGTATTATGCGCTAGTATATATATTTATTCAAATTCAAAGTTTAATAGCAAGAAGCACAGTGGTCCATTTGTAAAGAGAAATGGTCCATTTGGAAAGAGTAGTGGTCCGTTTTGTAACAAAGTAAAGCGATACTTCTCAAATCCCATTTCCAGATTGTTTGGGGCCGAATATATCACCCCTAACTGTAAATGAACAGTAAAGTAAAAAATAACAGTATCCCTAAGTATGAAAACTTAATTCTGACTTCTGAGTACATATTTAAAAAAATAATAAATAAAATAAAATATTAGATAATTGTGTTTTTTGAAAGGAATTATTCTTACACAGAGAAGTCACACTAGATTTCTGAGATGTAAGAATGATTTGGTAATTACATTCACCATACAGAGTGCAAGCTGAAGATGCCATTATTCCAACATCTTTTGAGGCAAGTAATAAAAGTTTAATATCAAAATTGATAATTTAGATTATCTTCCCTGAGACTAACAAAAAGATACTACTACTAAAGGAACAACAAAAAGGGTTTTGAAAAAAAGAATTGATAAAATAAGAAATAAATTATATACGATATTTAGTTCCGTGGCCCAATTCCAAAATGAAACCTACCTGTTCGTTGATCATTGAACGCATATTCGAGTCTTAGTGGGCCCAAAGGAGAGTCGACCCGAATACCAAGCCCATACCCGTATCCACTTCCAGCCTTGTTTCTTGCCCCAGCAGGATCACCTAATAGAAATGCATACCATGATATATACTGACTGATTCCAAAATTAAGTTAGCCATTCACTTATTACTCTACATTGAGTTGGTTTTTTCTCTCCTTTTTTGTTCTTTTTTCTTTTTTTTTTTGGTGGGGGTGGGGTTGTAACAGATAGAAAATGGAAAAAACCTGGAACTGTTGGGCCTGATCCAAGATCTGTTCCGTAATCGGCAAATACAGCCCCTGATAATGAGCCTCTCTGCAAAACAGGGAGCAAAGATTTCATAATATGTTTGATAACAGATTGTTAAACTTGCATCAATCATTTTGGCTCTGCTTGGTTCATGGATTTTGAAACAAGGAAGATGGAAAAACCTCCTATCGGTTTACGTGTACTTTTCCTCACTTTCTTTTTTCCTTTTTTAGGAAAACGTATTTTCCTGTTTTGAGTCACAAAATATTTTCACATTCTTCCCAAATCGTTTTACCTAATATTTTACCTGGTCGTTTCATCTTTTGACCATGATCCAAACAGAGCCTTTGCTCTGGGCCAGGTCAAAAGTGCACACAAAATCTTACTACAAAAAAAAAAGTATAAAGCTGACAACTTACCACTGGGAATGAAATTTCTCCACTACCAACAACATAAGAACGACCCGATCCAACTGTCCCTTCTTCATAGCCTCTCACGCTGTTGGTCCCACCAATCGGAAATGCTTCGTGCGGGGGAAATTTACCAGCCATGTGTCCACCAGACAAGCTGTGTTTTTTTTTTTATTAAACGAACCATGATCATCATAATTGAAAATGCAAGCCTTAAAAAATTTATCAATATATTTTCCTATAGCTTACCAAAAATGAAAGCTTGTAGGTCCCAGGGAAAAACTCTGCCTAGCACGAGCATTCACTCTGTTGAAAACTAGCCATTCAGGAGAGACGGGGATTCCCTGATCCATGTTGAAGACAAACTGGGATTTGCAAAATAAAAAAAGTTAATAGAAAGGTAACAGTTCCAAATTAACAAAATTCTCAATGCAAATGGAAGGCGACTAACCATAGAGGAACCTGGTTCGCCAGAGCCGGTATATACAGTCTCAAGTTTAGCAAGTAACATATCATCGTTATTCTTTCCACTGCAGCAAAATTAAAAGTGACATATTATGAACCGAATTGGAGTATAGTATACTCTTGGACTCTTAGCTCTGAAAGCTAGGGTACAAACCTTGCAGTAAGAGGACTACCAAAGAAGTCCCTTATGATAGAACTTCCCTTTTCATCATGAGCACCAGCACGCTGCAGTAAATAATCAGTTAATCTTAATGAAGTATGGACCATAAAGCAATGTTAAATCAGAAGAAAGTCGAAAAAGACTTGCAATTTTGTTTTGAAGATACACACATGAAGAGAAATACACGTGAAATCAAACCATAGTACCGCAGATTCCTAAAAACGTACATGATAAACAAGTCCAGCAGTTCCGTTCCACTTTGGCCTCAAGGGCCTACTAAAATCGATTCCAGCTGTTATTCGTCCAATTGTAAGGGCGTTTTGATGGTTTTCATTTCCATGCACAAGGTTTCCTGGCGTTCTTGAATTCTGATAAGAGTTTTAGCAATTAAAAAATACGCAGTTTTTACTTTAGAACAACAACTAAAATAACAGTAGCCATTACTTACCTGAATCATGATTGATCTAGATGTCCTCTTATCATCTCCTTCAATCCAAGGATCGGTGTAGTTTATCCTAAATATGGAATCAATTTGGCCCCTCTCTAAAGACAGGTTCAGTTTTTGGTTTCGTCCGAAAAGGTTTTTATGATGTACTGCAATGCTGCAGAAAAATTATGCGCGAAAACTTTTCTTGATAAATAATAGGAACCTAAGGCAATCAAGCTGCAGTAACAAAGATGTGTTCCACAAAACTAAAATTACTAGTATACCATCATTACCATATAGACAAATAAACAGCATAATGCATGCACAAGAACGAAAAACATAGTAATCTACTATCATCAGAATATCCTTACAAACGTAAAGTAAAAGATAATTTTCACCAAGAAACTGCTCAATGCTACTCAATTACCTCCCAATTAATCCAGGTAAAGGCCCACTTGTTATTCTGCAAAGAGAACATCAATAATTAGATAACTATAGTACATGTTTACTGTAATCAGAATAAACTACATCTAAGAAATGCTACCATAAAGATGTAATTTGACATTTTACATACCCACTAGATATTCCACCCCCTCCAGAAATTCCACCTCCACGTTTGCGTTCAACAACATTCATTGTCAAATCAACCTTGCCAGTGTCTGGAACATTGCAGAAATTTCATTAACCGTGCAAATGGACAATGCATTTAAAATTTAAAAGAAGATTCAATAATTCCTGAAAAATAAAGCAGCCAGAGGCATTTACCACCAGCCGGCTGCGGAATAACACTAACGTCATCCATAACACCCATTGCCAACACAGTATCAACATCTCTTTTTCCCTGGATCATACTGTACACCTACATAAGACAAAATGTACAATCGAATTTTTAATGTAATCTGATATTATCTTCTAATAGCACATAAGTGTAACCTTATTTCTCGTTCAAGACAGCGTCACTTTCTTTTAATCAACTTGTAAATGTCATGAGCCATACATCATCTAACTTTATGCATTTTTTAGTGATTATGGCGTACTGGCTTCAACTTGACTTTAAATGAATATTTTAATCACGCATTCAATAAACAGGAATCGTAATATCAAGTACTTTCCTAATATTTCATAAGACATCGAGTGCTCTGCAATACCTGTCCCTTTTTGGTCGTAAGTTGCCTTAGTATAGTTTCCGGCCTAGTTTTCCCGATCGTTGGCTCCCCACTTCAGATAAACAAAAATAACATAAATAATGAGATCGTATAGCACCAAATGTGTCTACTTGATTTTAAAATATCCAGAAAACAATTACATACGTCTTATCAAGGAAACGTATGGACACGTTATTGACCTCTGCTTCTGAAACTTGTAGTTTGACCATACCACCAGATAGAATATCCACACCTGATACCTGATAGTGCGATAAAGTAAGGAGGAAGTTGAAACAAAGTAGGGGGGTGGAGAAATATCTTACAGCTTTCAATATGTAAAAAAACTAACCATTCCAAAAAGACCTCGCTCCATGTACCAACCATTAATTGAGCTTATTACTTCATCTAGACGCCTGATGTTAACCACTTTTCCTGCATAACTTGGCGCAACAATGAGGAAGATCTAACATCAGAAACCTTAAAATGTGGAGAGGCCAATAATTTCATGGTTCCATGGGTATATATTGCAAGTAAAAGTAGAAGAAAACGCACCATATCCATCACGAAATGCATCCTCTATAAACTTTGACGGCAGAACATTAGCTCCTTCACACACCAATCCTTGAAACTCTTGGTTCGGTTCTACCTGTTGACAAAATATGTTGATACAAATAAAGCATCACAATCATAGAATGAGAAACTTATTGCATAAATGTCGACGAATGGATTGATGAAGTCACATCAACTAATATACGCAAAGTCAGTGTTCTTGTTCACGTGCATTTTCATATATAAAGAATTTTTACTTACAAATCAATAGTTAAAGATACCTAATAACAAAGCATATATAAATGTCGATATATTTTTCACATTCAAAATCTCACCAACTGATTACTTTGTTTACAGAGCATATGATACTAATTACACCATTGAAAACCCCTCATGATATGATTTGGCAGCACATAAACTACATCATGGATACAAATCAACCATTACCATTATCCCATGCATTAACTATTAACTGAAAAGCAAAAGTCTAGATATACATAGACAGAGGTGCATACTGAGAGAAGCAGACAAGCGTTGCCAATGAACATGCATTTCTGAAACACCGCAAAAAATACCTGAAAAATCAACCGAATGCCGTCCCTAGTGTCGACTGCTACAGGCATACAAGACATGAAATAGCCACTAGCGATAATCCTGTGAACATCTTCCTGCACCTCGCGCACAGTGAGAGCGGAATTGGCGCGCGAAGCTTTTAAAGCATTCAAGGCCTCGCCTTCCAGGTCCTTCCTCTCGAGCTCCTCGCCATCTTTGTTCCTCACAAAGACTTCGCTGATCAGAACCCTCTCTTCCTCCGCTGCTCGACCACTACCCACATTCTTCGACTGAGTCACTGAACCGGAGTCGTCACCCTTGAGCTGAACCGCTAAGCTCGAGTCATCTCCGGTTTTAGATTGGGGCGGCGCCGGCCCAGTCTCAGTGTCGGATAAAACCAACGAAGCGGAGCAGAAGAGCGGGGATTTCTTCGATACTTTGTTTCGATGGAAAAACGACTGGTTCCTAACGATGTGGGAGAAGAAACTAATGCGCTGGAGATCGAAACCGAAATTGAAATTGAAGTTGAACGGCAATTTGGCGAATTTGTTCCCCGGGGTGAGTTGGAGAGAAGGAAAGGGGGATTTGAGTTGGTGCGGTGAGGAGAAGGCAGGGATTTTGATGGAGGAGGAGATGAACTGGACGTCGTCGTTCTGAGGCATCGTCCGCCGGTGAAGCTCCCTGCTCCTAGGGTTTTGCGGTGGTTTTCTCAGTTTCCACGGTGGTACTGTTGCAAACTACACACAGTAGCTCCTCTCCGTTGGCAATTTCTCCGGTGCGTGTAATCGGGCCCCCTTCGATCGAATTTGGTGCTTGGGTCATTTAGTGATTTACATAGAGGCCCATATTCTTTGATGGGCTTTACCAAAATAAACAATTCTATGCCCATTTTCGAATTTCGACACAAAAAATCAATTTTATTATAATATATTTCGTATCGAACTTTCTCACAATTTTGAAGTAAGTCGACCAATGCAGTGCTTGCGCAATATATCCTTCGTTGGGTGAACTTTTGAGTTACTAAGTGAGTTCTTGACCCACTATGGTCTTTGTAACTTATTGGACCTTCAACCCATTAATTTAGATATGGGGAGTTCGCCCCATTAATGCCGAACTGATCCTATCATACCGTTTCCCTTCTGATTCACCGTCTCCATTCTCTGTTTGTTTTTAGCCACACAGCTCGTTTTGGCACGAATTATTGTATAATACTTGTCTTAATGCCCGTGAAGGTTTTATGATAGGGTGAGAACTCTAGATGATGCATTATTGTTTAGCACATATTTCGCAGTCATTGTATTCGGTGGTGGAGCTGTAAGTGGACTTCAACTTCACTGTTGTGATGAGCCAACGGCCCTCCTCGCCTTTCTAATTTGCCCGGAATCGAGATACTTCACGCATTAAACCATCCCTTGAGCATGTGTTTTAGATTATATTGCCATGTGATGGTTTGATATTTGTTGTTGGAGTAATAACAGTTCAATTTGATATTGGAAACTTTCTTGAATTTTTTTTTTCTCAATTAACAAAGTAGATTGTTTTAGGCAATATAAACTAATGGGGTTCAAGGTCCCTTTCATGGCGATGCCCACGATCAAAAGGTAGTGGAATTCTTTGGTGGGAAACTTTAATAAATTCAAAAAAAAAAATAAAAAAGAAAAAAGAAAAAAAAAAGGCGTGGTCCATCCATGCCCCAAAACAAAGTAAACGACAATGGACTTTTTCCTCTCTCTACTGCAAACACAGAAGTATATATAAAAGGATAGGACTTTAAAATTTCAAAAAGTTTCCCCCAATTCTGCATCGGCGCCTCTCTCTGCTGTACGATCGATAAAAAAAACCGCCTGCCGTCCTCTCATCTCCGCCCATCCCAAACCCTAGTTCCGCCACCTGTACCTTCATTTCCGTTTCCATTTCTGTTTCCGATTGAGTAAATTCGAAATTAATTTCGATATTACCAAACAAAGGCGCTTCGGGAACTGGATTAATAATTCGCTGCGGGAAAAGTGAGAAAACATCGTCTCGTGATCCTCTTCCATCCAATCGCACATCAGGTATTCCTTTGTCCATTTATGTATCGACAATTGCTAGTGGATGTTTTGTGCTTGCTACACGTCACGGTTTTTTTTTTTTCTTTTTCTAGAGAAATTATTGTTTGGCCTCGTATTTAGTAAATATGGTTTATATATTTGTATTTGGCTGTGCTCGAGTTGCTGTATTTCCTTACTGAATATTTGCGCTGAGGCAGGGTTTATATACATATACATATATATTTGTATGAAATGTCCTTTAATTGGTTGCTGGACAGCTCAGGCATGATGTTTTCTCTGTTTTTAACCTTATTTTTGGTTAAAAATCCGGTTCGCCTGATCCAATTGGCAGTGTTGACTGTTCACAGTGGATGCATCTGATAATTAATGTAATTAGATTTATATTATTTAAGGGAAGATTAATATGACTTGATATTTTTAACTGTTGCTTACCAATGTTTATTTTACTTGCTTAAAGTGTATGATAAATTTTGCAAACCCTGGAGACTGAGTGAAGATTGTCTCTGTTTTTTTGAATATGATCTTCCAGATCCTTATAGTCTGTTGAATTTGGATTTTATTTGGTAAAGTTCTATTTTACACTGTTTGCCAGGTTGCCTATACTGAGTTTCATGAACAAAAATATGGAAATAAATGGGAAGGATGATCTGAAATCGCCGCTTTTGCAACATCCGAATGATGTTGTTATCACTGTTTCACCCTCGGATCAGATTTTGCTCAAGAAAATTAGGACGCTGGTCTTCAAAGTAGTGGGTATAACATGCTCATCTTGTGTAGCTTCCATAGAAGCTGCACTCGGAAAACTGGATGGTGTGCATAGTGTAGCGGTGTCTGTGCTTCAAGGTCAGGCTGTTGTGAAGTATGTGCCAGAAGTCATCACTGTAAGTGACTGATTTTTTATTAATTGACTTGCATTTAATTCGTTCTAAGTGCAATCTCTTAATTTGATGCATGAAGTAGAACTACCTTGGCTATTTCTCTTGTTTTGATGTATTAAGTGCAACAACTATGGGCTATCTCATTGCATAGTTGATATCTGCTGTTGCTATTCTTTGTTATTAAAAATTTCAATGTACGTAATATCTCATTTTCTCAACCAAAAATTATCAGTGCTCAATTGTTTCGTAACTTTGGAGGGAAGGGTGGGTAGGTGGGGTTTTATTTATTTAGGAATATCACATTCCAATTTGTTCACTTTCTCACACTTGTTAGTTGCTCAACTTGGTCAACCTTATTCCTGTAGAACTGATAATGTTCTTTATTGTAGGCAAAAATGATAAAGGAAGCAGTGGAAGACACTGGTTTTGATGTTGCAGAGTTTCCCGAGCAAGACATTGCAATGTGCAGGCTCAAAATTAAAGGAATGGCATGCACAAGCTGTTCAGAGTCAGTAGAACGTGCCTTGCGCATGGTGGATGGAGTGAAAAAAGCAGTGGTTGGTTTAGCTCTTGGAGAAGCTAAAATACATTTTGATCCAAATGTGACAAATACTGATCGTATTATTGAAGCAGTAGAAGAAGATGCTGGCTTTGGAGCTGATCTCATAAGCTATGGCAATGACTTGAATAAAGTATATTTGCAATTGGGAGGAATCAGTTCTCCACTCGATTTTACTATTATTCAAGACTCACTTCAGTCTTTGGACGGTGTGAATCATGTCGAAATAGATGTGGACGAGCATAAAGTGACCATAGGTTATGAGCCAGATATCATTGGTCCAAGATCTATAATACAGCACATCCAAAAAGCTGGAACTGGACCCAATACTTATGAAGCAACCTTGTTCACTCCACCAAGAGGAGGAGAAACAGAGAGGCAGCATGAAATCCTGATGTATCGGAATCAATTCTTGTGGAGTTGCCTATTCTCGGTTCCTGTATTTGTTTTCTCCATGGTACTCCCAATGCTTCCTCCATATGGAAATTGGCTAGACTACAAGGTTATCAATATGCTTGACGTCGGGATGCTTTTACGATGGATCCTCTGCACACCTGTGCAGTTTATCATTGGCAAAAGGTATCCATTCTAATTTTCTAGGTTCTATAGAATGTTTTGATGAATCATATGATTAGTGGGTTTTAACCACCTTCTCAGGTTTTATGCAGGATCATACCATGCATTGAGACGAAAATCTGCGAATATGGATGTTCTGGTTGCCTTGGGTACTAATGCGGCTTACTTTTACTCTATATATACGATGATAAAAGCATTGACTTCGGATTCATTCGAGGGGCAGGATTTCTTTGAAACTAGTTCCATGTTGATATCTTTCATTCTTTTGGGGAAGTACCTGGAGGTTTTGGCGAAAGGAAAGACCTCAGATGCTTTAGCAAAGTTGACAGAACTAGCACCTGACGTGGCTTGCCTTTTAACTCTAGATGCTGAAGGAAATGTCATTTCTGAAACTGAAATTGATACCAAACTTATAGAAAAGAACGATATACTTAAAATTGTTCCTGGGTCAAAAATTCCTGTCGATGGAATTGTCACTGATGGTGAAAGTTATGTGAATGAGAGCATGATTACAGGAGAAGCATTGCCAGTTACTAAAAAGCTTGGTGACAAGGTAAGATAGATTATATGTCCTTAATATTAGTACCCACTGAATTTAAACATTTATGTTCCATCAACAGGTGATTGGTGGGACGGTGAATGAAAATGGGTATATACGCATTAAGGCCACTCATGTTGGTTCAGAAACAGCACTTTCGCAAATTGTTGAACTGGTTGAAGCTGCTCAGCTTGCCAAAGCACCTGTTCAGAAATTGGCCGACCAGATATCTAAGTTTTTTGTTCCCACTGTGAGTTTATCTACTTTATACCTATAGAATTTATGTGTGGATCCAACCACTTGGTCTATCTAATCAACATAGTGAACATTGGTTGTGTATATGATAATGCTCTGGTTTGTTTCTTATTCTCATATGGATCAATCCATAGTTACATAGATATGGTAGCTCCTCGAGGCAAGTAACTCAAATATCAATTTTCTTTTTAATATGAAATAATTTGTTTCTCTACACAGGTTGTCCTAGTTTCTTTTGCGACGTGGCTGGGATGGTTTATCCCTGGACAAGCTGGTTTATACCCTAGAGTCTGGATACCCACGGCTATGGATGCATTCGAGTTTGCCTTGCAGTTTGCTATTTCTGTCTTGGTGGTGGCTTGCCCCTGTGCCCTGGGATTAGCGACTCCTACTGCAGTGATGGTTGCCACGGGCAAGGGTGCCTCTCTGGGTGTGCTAATTAAAGGTGGAAATGCCCTTGAAAATGCGCACAAGGTATGCTCTCTACTTATGTATGTATTCGAGAATTAAATAGAAAATCAAAGAATATTTCAAGTTATAGAAAGGTTGCCCATCACATATTTACATTTTGTGCTGCTTATATCAATTGAAACTTTATGAATGTATGTGTGGCCTTTGTTGATGCAATTTAATCATTTTCGGTGTCACTTATGTTTGGGGTAGATGATTACCCTGCATCACTAGAAATACATAGCCAATATGGATTGAGCAACCTATTTTATGTTCATGTCATAATATTGAGGTAGATTACAGATGTTACCCTTGAGGTTTGACCTGTCTACTGAATAACTTGGATAATTTTCTAGATAAAGAAAACCCCTTGACATTATAAATTACACCTACTCGAGGGAGTTTTTATAAAATAAAGATAAACTTCAAGGGGGTATTTGTAATTTTGAACATTAGCTGTTTTTTTACCGTAAATTTACCTCCGAAGATACTTTTTGTGATGATGCACCCTAATATTTGTTTGTGCTCTATTGACGTATTGTGAACTTTTACGCTAGAGTTCAACTAGTTAGTCATGATGAAGATGCTTCGATTCTGCAGGTCAAGACTGTTGTTTTTGATAAAACTGGAACACTGACTGTTGGAAAACCAGCCGTAGTTAGCGCTGTGCTTTTCTCAGACGTTTCCATGGAAGATTTCTGTGACATGACTATTGCTGCAGAGGTGAGTTTTCTCCTCCTGTTTTTACTATAATATGATATTTGCTGAATTTAAATTTGACAATGAACCAGTAATGAGAGTAAGTAGGTAACATAACGGGAAAAAAACTATATGAAAGAAGCCATTTTATTTGCAAAGTGATAGAGAGTCTACTTCTGAAAAAATGAGTTCTGTACCGCAAGTTTTTAGGATAGTAACTAATAGATACAAAATTTCCACTATGGAATCATATGAATCATTTAAATGCTGAATGATTGTTGTTGTATGAACTGCTGGATAGCCACATACATCTGGATTTCGTTATCCAAATAAAAATGAGGCTAGGATGATTCTGATTACTGACATCTATGCGTTTTAAATGCTTACAGACAAATAGTGAGCACCCGATAGCAAAAGCTGTCGTTGAGCATGCTAAAATGTTTCGTCAGAATAACGGGTCCCATAACGATCTATTTACCGAGGTGAAGGACTTCAAGGTGCATCCAGGTGCTGGAGTGAGTGGAAAAATCGGGGAGCGAGCAATCCTTGTTGGAAACAAAAGGCTTATGCATCTTTCCAGTGTTCCACTTGGCATTGAGGTAGATAAATACGTTTCAGAAAATGAAAATCTTGCTCGTACTTGTGTGCTTGTTGCCATTGAAGGAAGAGCTGCAGGAGCTTTTGCAGTAACCGACCCAGTGAAACCTGGAGCTGCCCTTGTCATATCTCATCTCCGCTCAATGGGCATATCGAGTGTCATGGTTACAGGTGATAACTTGTCGACAGCTACTGCAATAGCTAATCAGGTGGGGATTGATAAGGTGTTTGCTGAGACGGATCCACTTGGGAAAGCTGACAAGATTAAAGAGTTGCAGGTAAATTACTAAAGCTGTGTTTATTATGTAATTCTTTCTCTAAAGCTGCTCAGCGTTTGAATGCACTACACGTGGAAATCCTTCTTGAATAATCGTGTGAATAAATTTAAGATTTACTTGTGTTTTCTCAAATTGCTAAAGAAATCACCATGTTATTTTTATCGGCATAAACCCCCCCATGTTTCCCTGCCTCTTAAATTAGAGCTCCAAGGGGTTTGTTTGCCTTTTGAGTTTCGACCATAGCGTGTCTTTATTGTAATAAAAATAATATAGGGGCTCTTTTGACAATTAGAGTAAAAGTATACGACTGCTAAATGCAAAAATGTAGTAATCTTTTTCCGTACTTTGCCTAAAACCCTATACTTGACACAGTTGCAAGGTACGAGCGTTGCAATGGTAGGAGACGGGATCAACGACTCGCCAGCCTTGGTCGCAGCCGATGTAGGAATGGCAATCGGAGCTGGCACTGATGTAGCAATAGAAGCTGCTGACATCGTACTAATGAAGAGCAACTTAGAAGATGTTGTCACTGCTATAGATCTCTCTCGCAAGACAATGTCGAGAATTCGGACCAACTATGTTTGGGCGCTTGGGTACAACGTTCTTGGCATGCCAATTGCCGCAGGGGTTTTGTACCCCTTCACCGGAATTCGTTTGCCCCCTTGGCTTGCCGGTGCTTGCATGGCTGCTTCGTCGATAAGCGTGGTTTGTTCGTCTCTCTTACTGCAGTATTACAAGAAACCTTTACATGCTTACAAGGAGAGTCGTTAGTCTCTTTGGTTGATTTGACTCTAATATGACAAGAAACATTAGCCTCTTCGATTGATTTGATTGTTTGAATAAAAGGTAAAGTTTTAGTAACTTCCTGTTACTTCTGAAAATGTGACGATGCACTTTGGCTGCTCGAAATTGCCATGTAAAATGGGACTTTGCGAAAGTCGTGATATTCGACGCAAATTAAATTTCTTGATACTTGATGGCGAAGAACTGAAATTTTAAAGTTGTATTGTATATATTCTGTTGTGCTTTGTAGCGTTGCATATGCATTTTGAAGGATTTTTAGTTGTGAATGCAAATTGTCCCTTGAAATTTTATATTTTCTGTGAAGTACAGAAAACAAGAAATATTTGGATTTCGGAACACATGCAAAATTTCCAACTGTTGGTTTTACAAGGTTTGAATCTTCAGCAACTTCTACAAATTTAAATGACATGTATCTCGCTTATCAATGGTGATAGATTGCGTTGGAAAGCGTACACAAACTACTAGTAAAATTATTTGCAACCATGTACGGTACTTATTACCAGTAAAAACACGTAAAATTACGAGCCGTAAAACTTAACAATTGATCGATGCAACACAGCCCGCCCTATATTGCACATCTTAGTATTATTTATATTTTCAAGTCAGCTAAATTAGAGTGTCCGCCAATTGACATTAAAAGCCAACCTTTCATCCGAATTTGAGTTGTGTTTACCTTAGAGACTTCTCTTAAACCAATCACTGTTTGAAAAGGCAGAATTTCAATGTACACACACACATAAAAAAAAAAAAAGATGATGACTTTTCATTTCCGTTACTTTAGAAAATAAAGCCACCACCATATTGTTTAATTAGCGACTCCCAAGCGTCAGTCAACAAATTATTGGCAATAAATAAATATTTTAACCCAAATAAAAAAAAAAATAGCACCGCATTTCAGTGCTCCGCGACACAGGATAACAAATGGGCTCTCATTCTAAAATATCGGCAAAAACATGTATTCCTAGGTCAGCTCAGCCAACAGCTAGTATAAAAGACACACAGCAGCCTCCACTCATAACCCTCTCTCATTTCTCTCCGCACAATCTCCTCCCTTCCGTCTACCTTCCCGAGCTTCGACCCAGTCGGACGAAGGTAAAAACTCTCTCTTCCATATTTTGATGGATCTAATACTCGTATTTTTTCATTTTTTTTATCTAGCTTTAATTTAATTTTTCAAGGATCTGGCTTCATTTTCGCTTTTTATACGATCGTGATTCGATCTGCTCTCTATTTTTTTTCTCGATTGGAATTGACATTTTCCGCTGTTGGTTGCAGTAAGTGTTTTTTGTTTCTCTCTATATGGTTATGGTTTAGATCCGTGTGTTTGATACACAGAGATTTTAATTTTGTTTGTTAGAACTTAGAGAAGAAGAAGAGGTCTGTACTCGTTTAGATCTGTATTTTCTAGATCTGAACTCGTTATCTCTGAAATATTTGACAAATCATGTAGATCTGATTCATCTGCGCTGCATATGATTTTGGATGATTAGCCTTTGTGGATTTACGTTGTGATCCATTTATCAGCAATGATGTTTGAAGCCTTTTTTAAGATCCAGTAGGATGTGGTAATTTTGTGATTTGGTTATGTTTTCACTGTATTCTGCTTTGATCCAGATTGTGTTACTCTATTTTTGTGGTGTTTATCAGAACCTTTGAGATCTAGTTTGTGAAAATTTCTGGTAAATGAAGAAAACCTTTTGGTTGTCTATTTCGTGTACATTTGCAGAGGCAATCGTTCATTGATGTTGATTTTTCATTGGTCTCTGATGATGAAAACAGCGTGGATTAGTGGTAGTCTGTAAATATAGACTTACTGTGCAGCTTATTAGCGCAGTAGTCTGTAAATGTGTGACTATTTTTCCAGTTTGATTATAGCAATCAAAATGTTTGTTGTATACTATTGACATCAGCATATTGATAGGGTTTAAACTATAATGATATTTTTATACCAGCATGTATGCTTTATACTTGGAAAGTGATGGGGTTCATCCGTCTTTGCTGTCTGCTTTTATTATAGAGAATATAATTGGTTCATCCATACTTGCCTTGGTTTGCTCATTTGCATGTCAGTAGTTTACATTGGCCGTATACCAACAAAACACCGCACAAGTTTATTTGGATTCATAAAATATCTTTTACTGTTGTAGCCTTTTTGCTTGTATTTCTAAATAGACTTACTCTTCCTGCAATATTGTGTTAACTGCTTTTGTTAGTTACTAGTCATTATTAGCGTGCAATTGTGCATACTTTTATGTTGGGCATGAGAGAATTGTGCGATTCACTGATTATTTATTTAACTGTTAAACTTGGTTTGGTTTATTCTTGTCCTAGATTATGTAACCAATTGAACTTGTATATTCTTGTTATATTCTCTTGTATGATCACTTGACCATTGCTTTTGGTTCATGCAGGTGTTTTCTGCAGATTTGTAATGGCTGATCAGCGGTACCCAACCATCCGCCAGAAGGTGGCTAACCAGCTACATCTGGGCTCGAGCCTCTCACAGGACGTTCAGGCTCGTTATGGTGGTTTCCAAAGGCCTGCTACATACCAGAGGCAATTTGCTTATGGAAACTACACAAATGCAGGTCTACAGTACCCTGCCACCTGCTCCCAGAATCTCTCCTTGATTACTGCAAATGCATCGCCAGTGTTTGTTCAGGCTCCACAAGAGAAGGGCTTTGTTGGATTTGCCATTGATTTTCTCATGGGAGGAGTTTCAGCTGCCGTGTCTAAGACAGCTGCTGCCCCAATTGAACGTGTCAAGCTTTTGATCCAAAATCAAGATGAAATGCTCAAGGCTGGCAGGCTCTCAGAGCCTTACAAGGGGATTGGAGAATGCTTCAAGAGAACCGTTCAGGAAGAAGGATTCGGTTCATTGTGGAGAGGAAACACTGCCAATGTTATCCGTTACTTCCCCACTCAGGTTCACCTCATACTTGAATGCTTCAATA